AAGAGAATTACCCCCTGATAGTTCACACAACGTGGAGTTATTAGTTAGCGTGTCAGTAGCAGTTGGCATAGAAATTGACCCTGTTCAAGATCGTAATGCTGACCAAAAATTAAAAAAATTGGACGAATGTGAATTGGGACGAGTGTGAAATGGGACGAATGTGAATTGGGACAAATCGACTCGTGGGACGAATCGACTTGTGGGACGAATGTGTTGGGACGAAAGTGAATTGGAACGAATTGACTGTGAATCTTTTTACCCATCATACACAACGCATTAGTTTTTTTTAATTATGGTTACATTTCTTCCCTATACGTTCAATGAGCTGTTACCGTTAAGATGTATTGCCCATGGAAAAATACAATACGACCGATACGTAAAGTAACGTGCGCCACAATGTGTTTAAAAGCATGACCATTAATGTAATATAAAAGGACTTATGATATGTATATCATTAATTAGTATTTCAATATAATTACATTAACAGTTATGCCGTAACTTGCATTACGCATTTTGTAAATCTTCTTCAACATACTTACCTATAGTCTTTGCATATTTCAGTTTTATTTTATTTTTTACCAACTATCAATACCGACTCCGTGGTGCAATACTACAATTAACGCGCCTTATTTGTTGATCAACGTTTAATTTGATAATAATTTACGTGTTCGAACAGTAGTCTCATTCCAAAAATAAATATGACCCAATTATTGCTTTAAGTTGCTGTTTTACTTAACTCCTCTATCGTATGAGATGTACATCAAATACAGATATTGAAGAAGTTATAGTAGCTATTCGGCAGAAATATTTTGTTTTTAAAGGGCAGTAGTCGTAGTGCCACGCATGCGTGAGATATATGGGTTCCGTATAAACAAAGATGGCGACTATGACTGTTGCACAGATCAACGAGTACAAACTGAGACGTTACCAAGCTTTAATTAGGTATTTTCAGGTGATTTTTACCAACAGAAATGTCGCACATGTGCAGCGCGACGACCACCGCTCTTTAATTTTATAGTTTGAAAAAGATGCAGAATAGACAATGAGTTTTAGCTCATTAGTACATTTGAAATTGAGGGGAGACAAATTAAATTTTAACGCGAAAAAAAAAAAATGATCGTCACGGTGAGATCACCCCGTATCGTCTGCTCAGCAAGGAGACGTGCTATCCATGTTTTTCAAAAATACACAATTGTTGCACAAATAAATCGGAGTTTGGCTTGTGGATCTCCGTTTTTTATTGTTGATTAAATATGGAGAATAACGGTGCACTTTCACGATTCACGAGGAATAATTATATGATTTCACGGGCCACGACAAGAATCATTGCCACAAATAACGTTAAATAATCGAATAAATAAAAATAAAAATAAATTGTCAATCATGGACCACGAGTACCCCAACCTCTATCAATCGCAATCAAATCACGTATAAAGGACATGATTCTTTACAAAATCGTCGACCCCTACTCTGAGTCGGTTGCACTGTTCCCCAGACTAGTAATTATGAACGCTGCCATTATGGCCATTGAACATACGGTCAACGAACGCAGGCGATGTCACGTTCCAGTATGAAATCTCGCGGGATTGTACGATATTGCCTGTCTAGACCTACATAAATGAAGTAATCCGACATTGTGTTCGGGTTGTATATTCCAATGTAGGATTCATAGACGTAAATGATTCCAAAGATTTATGGCGTTGTGCTTCCAAATACTAGTATATACATACGGCTGTAAATGATTATATTGCCATGGTTACTTGACGGTTCTGGGTTCAATTACCTGGTAGTTTATCATTGTCTGTTTTGCTGTCATAGTAAATAACCATGGCTGTCAGACGATGGCCTGAGACGATAAATATTGCTGTAATTAAGTTGATGTTTTCAAAAAATAGTAATTAGAACATATCAGTATTATGACTACAACTACTACTACAAGTTGGTGAATAGCAATCTCGAATAACAAACAAACTAATATTTGAAGCGCGGTAGTCGTCGCGCTGCGCATGTTCGACATTTGTGTTGATAAACATTGATTTTCCCACAATCCAATGTGCTCTTCAAATGGAAATCAAAAGTATGAGGTTTGACCTGGGCGTTTGACTTGCACTGCTTACCGCCGGTGACTCCTTCGATACCATCCAATCACATGAAAATTACCTAATTACAGCTTGGAAACGTGTCAGTTCGTACTCGTTGATCTGCGCAATAGTAAAAGTCGCCATCTTTGTTTATATGAGACCCATGTATCTCGCACATGCGCAGCGCGACGACTACTGCGCTTCAAATATAAAGTT